GTCTTTGGCCACATGCACATAAGCCCTGCTATTCAATGTCACCTGCAGAGAGCCAAGAGCAAAAGTGCAGGGGCCATTTCAGCAGCTATGGACCTCAGTCAGCCCGTGGGAAAGGGCCAGCCGAGAGTATTAATAGACTTGCTGGAGGCAGAAACTCAGTGAGGACATGCCCTAGGAGCTGAAATAATTTAAAAAGGGGCACAATCAAAGTGGGACTGGAAGAAGGGAGCAAGCTGGAATTCCAAAGATAGGCCAGGCACGGTAGGAGGTGCACCAGCAGAGGCAGGGTTATTCTAAAATATCTGAAAATCTAAAAACCTCTATGGGAAAACCTTTTTTGGTATTGTTTCTGTGGCTTTCCATCCTCAAACGTTTTGCTCAGACTGTATTGAACTGTACACAGAATTCTCAAAAGTGGGTTTTGGGGGTGCTGGAGAAATGGCTCAGTGGTTAAGAGTACTGGCTGCTCTTGTAGAGGACCTGAGTTTGGTTCCCAGCATCCACATGATGGCTAACAACTATCTGTAGCTCCAGTTCCATGGGATCTGACGCCCTCCTCTGGCCTCCACAGGTACTGCATGACATGGGTACGCTTACATACAAGCAGAAAAAAGTCATACACATAAAATATTTAAGTGAGTTTTGGGGGAGAGTTGCTTTGCTTTGATGATTTTTTTCTTGTTTTTGTTGTGTTTTTTGAGACAGGGTCTCCTTTTAGGTGCAGCTGGCCCAGAACTCCATATGGAGACCAAGCTGGCTTTAAACTCACAAAGATCTGCCTGACTCTTCCTCCCAAGTGCCAGGATTAAAGGTGTGTTGCCACCACGTCTGGTGATTTTTAATTTTATGACTGTTTTGCCTGACTGTATATAGGCATACCGCACGCATGCCTGGTGCCCACAGAGATCAGAAGAGGGGGTTGGATTCTCTGGAACTGGAGTTATGGATGGTTGCTACCTGCCATGTAGGTGCTGGGAGCCAAACCCAGGTCCTCTGCAAGAATAGCCAGTGCTTTTAACCACTGACTTACCTCTCAAGTCCCTTAATTATATTTTCATTTATTTATATTGTGTGTGTGCATGCACAAACATGCATGCAAATAAGCATACCACATCACGCACATGGAAGTCAAAGAACAACTTGCAGGAGTCATTTCCCTCCTTTTACCAAATGTGTTCCGGAGATCAAACCAGTCATCAGGGTTAGTGGCAAATGCCTTTACCCACTGGGCCATCTCACTGGCCCTTATTTTTATTTTAAAAAATTCTGTCTTTTTTTGAGACAGGGTCTCCCTGTAGCCCCAGTTGGCCTGGAAATTGCTATGTAGACCAGGCTGGTCTTGATCTCACAAAGATCCCCCTGCCTCTGCCTCCTGAGTGCTGGGATCAAAGGCATGCGCTTACTTTTAAAATTTTTATTTATTTTTGAGACACTATCTCATGTACTCCAGGCTGACCTCACATTTGTTATGTATTACATGAAAATGACCTTGAACTTTTTTTTTTTTAACTAATTGTGTGTGGGAGGGTAAGAGAGTGCACATGTCACAGTGCAGGTTTGGTGGTCAGCGCAACTCTGTGGAGTCGGTTCATTCTTTCCACCTATTCTGGGGATTGAACTCAGGTGGCTAGATTTTGAAGCAAGTGCTTTTACCAATGAGCCATCTTGCTGGCCTTGCCTTGATCTTTTGATCCATCTGCCTCTACCTCCCAGGTGCTAGGATTACAAGCATATTCCCAGTTTATGCAGTGCTGGAGATCAAACCCAAGGCTTCACGCATGGCACACAAGCACTCTGCCAATTAAGCTAATTTCCAGCCTGATTTTTTTTTTTAAGTATTATTTTTCTTTTATGTGTATGAGTGTAGTGCCTGCATGTATGTAAGTATACCCATGTCATGCAATGCCCATGGAGGTCAGAAGAGGGCATCGGAGTTACAGATGGTTGTTAGCCTGGTTGTTAGCTGGCATGTGCAACTGCAGCCAGTGCTCTTAACTGCTGAGTCCTCGCTCCAGCCAGCCCAATTTTCTTTAATGGGTTGTCAACATTAAGAAAGCAAAACATCTGACAAACAGATATAAGAAGTAAAACTCTACTGAATTTCTGGCATCTTTGGGAAAGAAAATACAGACAAATCTGGCATCACTGGGTGAGTAGCACAAATGGAATGCTGCCCAGCTACTGCCCCCTCTTGGTAGGCCTGTTCTTTCCAGCGAGGCTGGCCTGCTGGCTCATTTGTCCCCTGACTGCCCCCTGTAGGCATTACCATTGATGCTCAGAACTGTCACAGGGTGGCAGCACCAGCCTAGCAATGTCAGGGCCTGCAAAGGCTCAGCTTAGATACTTTCAGAACCAGAGATCTTTTCATCCTTACTTGAGTGGTAGACAGTCGCTTCCAACACTCCCAAATAGATCTGTTCCTCAGCAAGCAACAGTGGCTCAGCTCAACATCCCCGCTAGGCCCAGAGGGGAAGCTACTGAGTGGACTTGCTCTCTCCTCCAAGCCACCACCTACCTGCCCATCTTCCCAGCCAGCCCCCACTCCACAGCCCGTATCTCCACCTGCTGCCATTCATCAGGCCTCATGAGGGTTCATGAGGTAAGCAGGGGAGGCACCCTCCTTTTAGAGGCAGACTGGCCCTTCATCAAATGCTCACAACTTACACTTCTCCCCTTCTCAGGGGCTAGCTGCCTGTTTCTTCCAGCCCTCTGCTCTCACTCCCTTTCCAACCTCACTAACAACATCCGAAGTGAGAACATGGGGCATAACTACAGCCCTTTGGAAAAGACATTTTGTATTACACATGGAGACCCACTCCAAATATCATTTGCTGTTCCTACCACTGACTCCACAATGCAAGGAAAACTTTATGTAAGACAGTCACTGTAGCATTTAAATTCATGAACAAGCAGAAACAATTCAAGTGCCCAGCAATGGGGAAACTTTAAGTCAGCTTTTGTTAGTCCCACCTGATGGGTATAGAATTACACAGCTATTTAAAAAGATGAGAGGGGTTGGAGAGATGGCTCAGTGGTTAAGAGCACTGACTGCTCTTGCAGAAGACCAGGGTTTGATTCCCAGCACCCATATGGTGGCTGACAACCGTCCCTAACTCCAGTTCCAGGGCAATCCAGTGCTCCCTTCTGATCTCTGCAGACATTGCACAACACAGGTGCACTTACATACGTGCAGGCAATACACTCATACACATAAAACTTAAGAAAAAATGATGAGGGCCAGTGGGATGGCTCAGCAAGCAAAAAGAGAGAACCAATTCCCAAAAGTTATCCTCTGACCTCCACATAGGCACTATAACATGTGCACATATACACAATAAATATTTCTAAATTAAGGGAAAAAAAGACCAAAACAATGCTGAAGTCCAGCTTGATGGCACAAGCCTATAATATAATCCGTTATTCAGAAGGCTTGAGGCAGAAGGACAGAAAGGTCACAGACAACCTGAACAACTTAATAAGCCTGCCCCATAATAAAAATTTGGAGAAAAAAAAAAGGACTGGAAATGTAGCTCAGTGGCAGAGTGCTTATGTAGCACATATGGGGCTCTGGGTGACATCCTCAGCAAACTGCCCCCATAACAAAACAATGTAGCTGGGCATGGTGGCTCCCGATGCACTTTGGAGGCAGAGGCAGGCAGATCTTCCAGGCTAACCTGGTCTACGTAGTGAGTTCCAGGCCAGTTGGGGCTACAGGGAGACCCTGTCTCAAAAAAAAAATTACTCTCCCAACCAAAAAAGAACACTCGATGCTCTTGCAGGGGACCCCAGTTCCCAACACCCACATGGTGAGTAATAACTGTGGGCTCCAGTTACAGGGGATCAAATGTCCTCTTCTGGCCTCTGTAGGTACCAGACGCATACATGGTACACATACATACAGGCAGGCAAAACAATCATAGACTTTTTTTTAATATTTAAAATTTATTTTAAAATTATGTTTTAAAAAATATTTTATTATTTTGATTTTATGTGTATGAGTGTATTGCCTGCCTGCATGCAAGTGTACATGTGTCCTGCAATGCCCACAGAGGTCAGAAGAGGGGGGTCAGATCCCCTGGAACTAGAGTTATAGATGGTTATGAGCCACCATGTGGATGCTAAGAACCAAACCCGGGTTCTCTGCAAGAGCAGCTAGTGTGCTTAACTGATAAACCATCTTTCCAGCCCTAAAATTTATTTTTATCTTATGTTTTGGCTACATGTATGTAAGTGACCTGTGTCATGCAATGCTTGTGGAGGCCAGAAGGGCATGTAAGATCCCCTGGAACTGGAGTTAAGGATGGTTGTTATCTGCCATGTGGGTGCTGGGAACAGAACCTAGGTCCTCTATAAGAGCAGCCAGTGCTCTTATCGCCTGAGCCATCTCTCCAGTACCCAAAATAAATCTTTAAAAAAACAGTACAGTCACTTAATGCTTTAAACCCTGCAGAAGAAGATGTAGAAAAGATAACAATGTGCTGACAGCAGCTGTGTTTGAGCACTGGGCCCGCCTAGTTGACCTTTTCTCATTCCTGCCAATTTTCTTTAATGTGCAAGTATTTTCTTCTTTCCTTTTTTTTTTTTTTTGGTCTTTTTGAGACAGGGTCTCCCTGTAGCCCCAGCTGGCCTGGAACTCACTATGTAGACCAGGCTGACCTTGAACTCAGAGATCCACCTGTCTCTGTCCCTGCGCGCACGCACACACACACACACATACACACACACCTGTGCTAGGACTAAAGGCATGTGCCACCCACCACACCCAGCCCTAATGTGCAAATATTTCTTATTGTATGTTAGAGATTTAGACTTCGGAGCTGCTGTGGCCACCTGCTACCATGATGGCAAGGACTCTTCAGAATTTGCCTCCAGGAGTCTCAGCCACTGCTCCAGAAAACCGAGCTTCCAGTTTCCTGGGAAGTCCTCAAACACGACTGATGTCATAGTCCCAAATGCCTGCACTAACTCCAGGTGCCATCTGGAAGATAGGATTCCATCAATAATGTTCTTGGGTGCCACTTTAATTGAGGTTTTTGCTACACACTGAGGAGGGGTGGAAGATGGTGATCATTTATTTCCAGGCAAATTCACCAGGCATACGCCCCTCCTGTCCTAAGGTGAACAGCCTGAGCGCCCCTCAACATAAACATGCTTTCTTTCTCCCTGGAAATCCCATTCCTGAGCTGAAAAGGGAAAGAAGAAGCATGTACAATAGGGCAAATTAGCCAAGGGAGCCAGGGAGATTTCCGAATTCTTCCCAGCACCAACTGGAACCAGACATGAAGGTGCCCCTCCTAAGGCAAGTCCTAAGGCAAGACCCAAATCCCAACCACTCCCAGTTGAGGCCACAATGCCACTCTAGGGAGCCTGAGAGCCAATGCTCTTCCACAGTGCTCCTCCCTACAATGCTCCCACTCAGAAGCCCGCAGTCATGGAAGGAACTCACTCAACAGACACAGCCTTCCTCTTTGTTGGGCCCTCAGCTGCTGCTGCTTCTGCCCGGCTGTAAAGAAGCAGCCAGTATATGTGTGGATGGGGGGTGCAGGAGGGGCCTGAGTAAGCAGTGAAACAAATCAGATGTCTGTTCTGGGGCTGGGTTGACATGGTGGCAGGAGAGGTCATGGCCCTGTGGACTACAGGGACCTGGATCCTCCATTAATTCTTCTCTGGACGGTTTCTGTTCAGGACTGCTTTCGGGGCAAATTCCAGCTTGTCCTTAAGGCTCACCACCTGAGTGTGGTCCTTGCCTAGCAGCTCATTCAGCTTGCGGTCCTCGCGGCGCTCTGAGATGCTCTTTTCCTCCTCCACAGGCTGTGGATCCTTTCCCCTAATGAACCATTCCAAGTGGTAGCCCACAGCCCCAACCACAAAGGCCACAGGAAAGGTGACATAGGGGGCATAGGTCCGCACCATGGTCCAAAGTACAGGCCACATGACATCTGCAAAGGAGCACAGGGAGCATTAGGAGAAATGAGCAAATGTGCAGAGTCTACAGGGCACGCTACTCACCGGGTAGCCTGGCACAATTAACTGAGCAGTCACCCCATGCAGAGTAGTCAGCAGGTACTACGCTTACTGCAACGGTGGGGTCCCTGAAATGCTCTAGGGAATCGTGAAAGATTCACTGTTAAGGAAGGAGGGGAAGACTCACCATGAACTATGCTCGACCCCTGTGCTCCAGTGCTCCCATAGGGACTGCCAAGCCTTACCTAATGGAGCTCCACTGATCTCAGGTGGTCTTCCAGTTTGTCAACATTTGAGGAAGGGAAAAGAAGTCTTTCTCTGCTCTATGAAACTTCCCCATGTACACGTACAATCCCACTGTGAATTAGGGGTCTTTGACACTAACCTATAGTTAACATATCTACTGGTCAAACCTTTCAAAATACACTGTCTTCAACCACACTCAAGTCCTCACATTTGAGCAGTAAGCTCCTGAAAATACCGCAGACTAATACAGTACTCTCGGTGGCCTAGAACCCTAATACTTGAAAAATCTCTGTGAAAAATACTGTAAAACAAAAGCAACAACAAAAAAAGTGGAACTGCCGCAGGGCCTCCTGCAATGAAGTAAGGCAACAGCAAAGTAATACAAAAACACACTCACTTGAATGGCCATTTAGTCACAAATGGTCACCATTATTAAATTACCATCTATACCATGATTTGATTATTGTTATAAAAGATCATTCACAATGAATGTAATAATGCTGGCTACCGTTTACCAAGCACTTGACAAGCTGGGCCTTGGGCTAAGCACCTTATATACACCTCTCCTTTAATCCTCACACTTACTCCTTAGGCATTAGCATTAAGTCACTTGTCCTAAAGTCTCAATCAAAAACTCCTCCTTTGCGCTCCTACTTCTCCAGCACTGCCACCCCTGGTCTAGAGCTAACAATCCAAACCTTATGGAGGATAAGGTGACTCTCTGTTTCCAATTATCTTCAGAAGAATCCAAATGTTTTGTGGACCTAGGACTATAAGCGTACCGTCACAGGTGGGGTGGAGAACTTCAGCAGCTTCAAGATTCTCTTCCTGGTCTTTTGTTTTAGCACCAGGCCTGATGCAGTACAATATACAGCTGAGACATCACCTGACCCTCACAACACCTCTATGATGTAGGAATTATTTGCCCAGAGGTTTGGCTCACAGACACTGTTAGTTGGCTGAGATCACTAGATATAACAGACTCACTTTTGTTTTGTGTGTTTGTTTTGTTGAGACAGGATCTCTCTGTAACCCCAGCTGGCCTGAAACTCTGTGTAGTCCAGGCTGGCCTTGATCACACAGAGATCCACCTGCCTCTGTCTCCCAAGTGCTGGATTAAAATCCTGCACCACCACACCTGGTCTTGGTTTTGTTTTTTTAACAACTTTGTAGTGTGTTTTTTTTTTTTTTCAAAGATTCGTTTACTTTTATTTTCTATGCATATGACTGTTTTGCCTGAATGTATATATGTGTACCATGTATGGCACCTGGTGCCTGACCAGAAGAGGATGTCAGATTCCCTGACCCTGGAGTTACAGATGATTGTCAGCCACCATGTGGGTGCTGGGAACTGAACTCTGGTCTTCTGCAAGAGCAGTAAGTGTTCTTAACTGCTAAGCCATTTTTCCAGACCCAGACCCACTGATAAGAGGTCAGACTTCTTGAACTTGAAAGCCTGGGCTTTTTCTAGCAGAAAGAACACTCTGCACATGTGTGCATGACTACTGTTCAAACCCTGACATGAGGAAAGCCTCTTGCAGCTTCTCCCCATTAGCTCAGCATTTCAGTACTTTGAAAGGCTTCCTTTCTTGAACACACTAGGCTTATACACAGAGATCTGTGAAATCCTAAGATGTACATGGTCAAGAGGAACCCTGAAGAACTCCAAACTCAATACTTCTCCACTCTATTTTTACTTTTTTATTGGGAGAAGGTTTGAGACAGGGTCTCACTATGTAGCCCTGGCCTAGAACTCGCTATGTAGACCTGTGTGCTGGATAGCTTTAGTGTCAACTTGCCACACCTGGGTTGAGGGAGCCTCAGTTGGAGACTTGCTTCCATTGAACTGGCCTGTGGCCATGTCTATGGGGTATTTTGATTGTTGTATGATGTGGGAGGGCCCAGCCCTCACTGTGGGTAGTGTCACCCCTGAGCAGGTGGGCCTGTGTTGTATAAGAAAGCAGGCTGAGCAGGGGCCAGGGGAGCAGCTCACCAGTAAGCAGCATTCCTCCAGGGCCTATGCTTCAGCTCCTGCCTCCGGGTTCCTGCCCTGAGTTCCTACCTTGGGCTCCCTGATGAACTGTGCCCCGGGAGATGTAAGACAAATAAACCCTTTCCTCTCCAAGTTGGTATTGGTCAGAGTATTTTGTCACAGCAATGGAGAAACAAACTAGGACAACCGGACTAGCCTGGAACTCATACAGATTCACCTTCCTCTGCCTCCCGAGTGCAGGACTAAAGGTATGTGACACCATGCCCAGCATATTTTCTACTTTCTAAACAAGCGTTTTTTTTTGGGGGGGGGGGTATTTGGTATGTATGTGTGTCTTTTGTTTCGTTGTTGTTTTGTTTTGAGACAGCATCTCATGTAGCCCAGCCTGGCCTCAAACTCACTATGTAGTTGAAGATGACTTTGAACTCTTGATCCTCCTGTTTCCACTTCCCAAGTGCTACCATTACAGGTACACATGCCACCATGCCTGGTATACTTTCCTAAATAGCAACCCTCCATTCAATTTTCCAATTTGTCTTAAAGCATATGGAGCACAAAAGGTGGGCTTGGTGGTGTACGCCTTTAGTTCCAGCACCGGGGAAGCAGAGGCAGGTAGATCTCTGTGAGTTCAAGGCCAGCCTGGTGTACATAGTGAGTCCCAGCTGGGGCTACAGGGAGACCCTGTCTCCAAAAGACCAAAAAAAAAAAAAAAAAAAAGCATATCGAGCACAAGTCTATGGTTAACATTTTCTCACACAAAAAGCACAAATTCTCCCACTCTCACATTCCAGTCATTTCCAGATAAGTCAATTCATCCATTTATCCAACACGACCACCTTCTCTATGGCAGGCACTCCAGGAGGCCAAGGACCAAAGGTGTCTGGGCTACCCTATGTCCTATCCCTACTCCCACCTCCATCCTCCCTGGCAAAGAGCTGAAAAAAAGTTTGTTAAATCAATGAATTAGGCAGCTCAAGTGCCCAGCTACTGCAAAAATCCACCCATTCTCAAGTGGGGGCAGACAGACAGACAGACAGACAGACACACACACACAGAGATCCTAGCAGACACCCTGAGAGGGTGGGCTCCGACCTCATCATTGTAGCAGCTGTGATCTCAGAAGACCACCAGAGAGTGCCAGGTTCTGGCTTCCTTCTGGCATCGGGGGCAGACAGACAGACAGACAGACAGACACACACAGAGATCCTAGCAGACACCCTGAGAGGGTGGGCTCCGACCTCATCATTGTAGCAGCTGTGATCTCAGAAGACCACCAGAGAGTGCCAGGTTCTGGCTTCCTTCTGGCATAGGGGCTGAGAAGGCAGGGGACTGCCTGAGAGCACCTGGATCCTGCCTCCACGTGGTGGTGAGCTTCCCCTAATTGCACCACATCCATCCCCCTACCTAGGATTTCCTGAGGCCCCTCCCAAGGCCTCAGGGCAGACTTGGCTTTGGTAGGCTAAGGCTGAGATCCTAGAAGACAGCCTGAGAGGTTGGGCTCCGACCTCCATCAGTGTAGTGGCTGTGATCTTGGCAGACCACCAGAGAGTGCCGGGTTCTGGCCTCCCTCTGGTATAGGGGCTGAGAATGCAGGCGCTTGCCTGAGAGCACTCGGATCCTGCCTGCACATGGTGGGGTCCAAACCTTAGGAAGAGTGTACCTGACTAGAACCTGACTGGAGCTTCTGTGGGTGCTCCTGAATAGCTGACCTGAAGCCATCAGTTCCCTCCAAAATAAAACCTGAGAGAACCTGAACCCTGTACCAACCAGCTTTACATAACCAATAAGGAAAGGACCTAGGCACCCCAATAATACAAACAGAATCATATTTCAACTTAATTCTCATATCAGAATCATAAACAACAAAAGAAATTCAC